CGCTCCCCAGAGCCTCACCGCAGCCTTGCCCTCTTCTCGGCAGCTGGTTGAATGCCAGCATTGGTGTGAAGCCCATCCAAGTCTCGCTGTTGAATCCTAGGAAGTTGTCAAGGTTCAACCGCCAAACCCTCGAGATGAAAAGGGGTCGGCGGCACCCGGGCGGAGCCCTTACAATAACCTCTGACTGTCTGATCGGTGGCTTTGGTTGGCAGCATTCTCCCATGTCCTGGTCTGAAACGTGCTAGTCCCACACCAAACTCTTGCTACAATGCTAGAACATGCAACGACCGGACTACACTACACTGGACTACACTGCTAAAACATTGTAGGCGAAGCACCACAATTACCGCCAGGGAAAGCTTTTGCTGTGCAGCGTTTCTGCACCGGGAGGAGCGAGGATGGCAAGAGATGGAGTCGTGTCGAACTAGCTGTTTAGCTTGTTGTTGGAGTTTTGCCTGCAGGATTCAAGAGCTTGCAACTGCCAAAGAATTTCAGTCTTTTTTAATTGTGTCTTATGAACGGTTGAGCAGGTGGCTTCTTTGTGTTTTGGTGTTGTGCTTTTTCATGTGTGTTGTTTGTCATTTTGGGGAAGCAATGAACTGCGTGGTATATGTTTGCATGGGTGGGCTTGTCCAAGGCTGCTTCTCACAAAGACCTGACTTCTCCTGGGGGTGCATCACCATCTGATTTGCCGCATTTGCTGTCCCTGTGTGGTGTGATCCAAGATGTTTGTTGCGCTGCAGATGGCAAAATGGCCAAGTTCGAGAGATCCCGGGGGTTTACAACAGATTTCCAGTGGGTTGAGTCACTTGTGCTTCGTGCGTTGCTGACCCATCAAAATGAACAGAATGCACTACCAGACATGGGCAACCTACATTTTAGATGTGTTAAGAGGCTCCAGCTTGAACGACCCATCCGTCACCCGACGACCCAGATCGACCCAGATCGGCCTTGGTTAATAACGTCTTCACGGATGCTAAAGACTCCTGAAAGCGACGGTCGAAGAAGGACCGTTTCCGGCGGAGGAGTCGTCAGTTTCTTTGAAACAGGAAATGGGTAACGGTCAGTGACTCTGGGATACAGGATGTTGTGTGTGCGTGCATGAGCCGGGTTCCTAGTTTGGAACCCACCGATCGACCTCCTCAAACATCTCTGCTGAAACAAATCCAATTGCTGGAACTCCAGATGCTCATGGAGTGAACTGATGAGAGACCAGAAACTTCCACCTCGTGCCAGGAAAGAAATGGCGTGTGCGGGCGTCCCATAGGTACCACCTGCGATCGCTCGGCGCGATGCAATCCGGGGAGGCGGGTCCACGTGGAGACCCAAAGTCTGAAAGACTGAATGAGTTCGTGTCAACCCTGCCCATACAGAAAAGGTAAAGGCATTTTCAAGCATCTGCGAAACCAAACGGCAATTCGTGTGACAAGCGATCGTTTATAATATGTTCGTTAACTTCAGCAGACTTTTTCCATTGCGACTCGGGGCCAGCTAGAATCATGCGCGAAACTCGCGAAGATATGTGAGTCGTCCCATCTCTCGCCTTGTTGGTCACCTCATATTTCTTGTTCAAGTTCAAGTAGTTCAGCGCCTAAAACGAGGCCAAATCTTCGCCAAGGAGATTTACTCAAAATCGGATCTACCATCTGTCTCCAATTCGCCGGCTCCAAAGGCTCTGGGGGTTCTCGTCGGGGCGGCAGCTCCGCGGTTAGCAAATCGACGGAGAGTGTCCGACAAGAGTTTCGTTCCAGTTCTTTTCCCCACAACGACCAGGGTGCTTGGTGATTTAGAATGCCGTCCGCCTTTAGCTATGTTCGGGAGCATTTCTGATCCGTCTCCTCTCCTCCGGGCTAAGAGTCATAGCAGCTGGTTTTGACAGTCTAGATGCAGCTTCGAGTTTCGGTTGTCTTCTCGGCGGGCCTGTGGAGGGTTGCAAGGACCATGAACTTCTCCTGGCCCTAGCGCCTGCAAAACCAATCAACAACACTGCGTCAGCAAAGTGCCAGAAACGAAGCCCATTTACGGTATGTACTCAGATTCTTATCAATACGGTGTAAGATTGAAATGCTTCTCCCTGCACTAAATGCATTCACAAACGCATGCTTTAGGTTGGAATATGCCGTTTGTGAATACCCTGACGTCCCCACAAAATGTTGCGCAAGGTCTGTTAGTGCAAAAACTGTGAACATCTAGAACGACGTGACCTGCCAGTTACGGTCATGTTTCTCCACAGGTGTGAGGCGGTGAGGAGCCCAAAGCACCACCGCATCAACTTTTCATTGACGTTCAAGACGTTTGTTAACTTCCTGGAAATGGTACCAATCAATCGTGCAACTTTGAGAAGGAAACCAATAGATTCCAATTTGCCGATCACCTGGTTTGTACCTGCTTCAGCGCCTTGCACGCGGTCTGCGTCCAGCAAGTGCAGATGGGGCTGACCGCAAGTTTATCTTTCTCATCGGCTCAGAAAAATCACGGTCGGCCCAAGCCCCCAACAGCCACCACTCTAGGCCAGGAGAATATACACGCGTATGCGCGTATGGTTGTTTAAACTACCTGTGCAAACAGCAAAGTGAACCACCTGACAATTCCGGTCACGTTTCCCCCGGCCGGTGGAGGCGGAGGAATGCGAGGACCATAAAGCTCTCCTGGGCCCGCTGCCTGCAGACATTCTGCGCAAACAGCCAACACAGATCAAGAAAATGATGTCCAATCCAATGGTTTGCATCGTCGAAAAAACGGAAGGAGACATGCCTGCACATCCTAAAACCCTCCCACTGCTTTGGTCAAGTTTCTTCACCCTGGCACCTTCATTCTCGGCGGAGGCCCGTTGGAAGGAACACGATCACCAACTGGCCCTAGCGCCTGCAAGGCGGTCGTCGGTATACAAAAAAGGTGGCCGAGACTGCCAAGACTGAAGAGCATGAAGCAAAAGAGCCGTTTTTTGGGGGGTCTGCGCGGTTCGTCGCCCGCAGGCGTTTGAATGGTTTCCACCCTGCTCCGGCTCCTATTTAGACCCACATTTGGCGCACAAAAAAGGAGTAACTCCTTGCTGCCCTAAGCTTCCCCATTGTTCACAGCAGGGTGTGTAAGGTTGAAATGATTCTTCCATGTTCTTTCTGCTCTAGATGATGACGTGGCCCACAAAATGTTGTACAAGGTCTGTAGCACTAACAAAAACTGTGAACATCCCGGGTCGAGCAAAAAGCATAGTCTGCGGCGTGCCCTGGTTATCTTCACGTGTCCCCGTTGTCGTTTGTTTCGGAAAGATCTTTCGGTGGTTGGAGCGTGTGCTGGTTTGAATCGTAGTCTGCCAGCCACAACGCGTGAGAAATGGGAAATCGTGCAAGCCTCTCCTGCTGTGCGCACGGCGCTTGCAAAGGAGTGTGCACGCTTTCTGAAGCCACTAAGTGGTTCCGGTCTGCTCGTCATGGTTGGCAAAAGGAGCTGACTGAGGATGGTGATGTGCATCCAAAACCGGGTCCCTTGAAAAGCGTGCGAGTCGTTTCCTTAAACGTTGGTGGTGTTTCTGGTGCTTGGGGTGCTGTTGATGAATTCTTGCGACTGGTTCAGCTTGATGTGCTGGTTCTTCAAGAAGTGTGTGCTTCTGATAGTGAAGTCGTGGCTTTGCGTCGGTCTTCCTTGCGTCAGGGCTATCGCATGCATCATCTTGCTGGTGCTCCTACGGTCGGTGCGTGGGGCGAAACAAGAATGCGTGGTGGTGTAGCTCTGTTTGTCAAATCGTCCTTGACCCAGCGGCCTGCTTTTACTTTTGTGGGTCAACACAGTCAATGTGTCGGCATCTGGTTGCAAGGCTGGTTTGTTGCTTGTGCATATACACCGCCTGGTCATGGTGATGAACCTGTGTTTGAGCTTGGCTCCGCTCTGGTGGAATGGTTCGCTTCCATGGTCCCGTTGTCTCAACCTTGGACCTTGTTTGGTGATTTTTGCGCTGAGCCTGCTGCATGTGAGCTTGTCCCTTGCATGGCTGCGTTTGGTGGTTTGCCTGTCGCTACTGGCTTGCCTACTCGCTGCAATTGCATTGATTGGTGCCTCACTAACAGGCCGCATGCGTTGAGTTCTCTCGGTTGCTTGATGTTGTGTTAAGTGATCACATCCCTGTTGAGTTGTCCATCCATGATGTTTCGCATGACACGCATCTTGGTTCCTTGCGTCAGACCGCTGTGTTGCTCTGCCCCTCCGGTGTTGACCGTAGCTTGGAAAGGGCGCTTTTGCATAGTTGGAACTCCAATGATGATGTCAGGCAATTTCATTCTTGCTTGGACACCAATCCTGTGGTCTCTGTGCAGGAAGAGTGGGACACCTTTCAACACTTGTTGCTGCGTTGTTGCCTTGACGCTTATGATTGGTTGAGCCATGTTGGCTTTTTGGAGCGTGGTGTGCGCGAGGAGTGTGCTTCTCTTGCTCAGCAACGCCCCTTCAAGGGAGCGATGGCTGAGTATGTTGTTAAGTCCGCTGCTCAGGCTGGTATTAAGCATCGTGTTGGCAATCTGCGGTTACGTAAGCTTCGGCGTACACTTGCCCGTTGTTATCAGTTCAAGCGGTTGATGTGTCGTGATGTTGCTTCATTGACGCGTGATCAATCTTTGGAGCTCCATCGGTTGCATCACAAGTTGCAGCAGAGTTGGCCTAGGACCTTGACTTTGCGTGAGGTTCTTTGTCGTATTGATCGGTTGAAACATGAAGTGCGGCAGTTGGAAGGTGATTCTCAGCGGCGTGCAATCAGCAAATGGCGGCATGAGTTGATCACTTCGGATGCGGCACTTTCTCGTTGGTTGAAGAGCAAAACTACCCCGGTTGGTGTGATGGTCACTGGCAGTGACGGCTTGGTGGCTGACACTGACGTCAGCGCGGCGCAGGCCATTCACACTTTTTGGACTAATTTTTGGACCGATGTTGACACAAACCAGCCATCTTTGGCAAGGCGTGTTGCGTCTTTGATTGCTGGGCTTGATCCTGTGGCTGCGTGTAGTTGGTGCGCTCCTTCTGGAGTTCAGCTTCGTAATGTTGCCTTGTTCGGTAGTAGAGGAAGTGCTGGTCCGGATGGCTGGTCCGCTGTGGAGATTGGTGCTCTCCCTGGTCCTGTGTTCGACCTGTTTGCGTTGCTTGGTCAGCGGTGGCTGCTTGCTGGTGCAGTCCCTCGCCAGCTCAATGAAAGCAGAATGGTGTCGTTGCCAAAGGCCGGCAAAGTGTCCGCTAAGCAAACTATTGCTGTGGAGCATTTGCGGCCTATTACCATCTTGAGTTGTTGGTGGCGCATCTGGAGTGGTGCGCTGATCCGCTTTGCAGTGCGGCCTTGGTTGCGTGATCACGTGCCGGAGCAGTTTGCTGTGGCGCACAATCACTCAACAGGAGATGTGATCGTAGACTTGTTGGAATACTTTTTCAGTCAAAGAGGTGGTTATCTTATGACGCTGGATTACAGCAAGGCATTGACCATCTGGATCCGCTGGCCACTAGGGAGCTCCTTGTGCACCTGGGGTGGCCTTTGGAAGTTGTGCGTGTTCTTGTGGCTGTCTGGCAGGATCAAAAGCGTTGGATTTCCTTTCAGAGTCACACCTTTAGGGAAACTCTTTCTGGTCCTGCAATGCCGCAGGGGGACCCGCTGGGCCACGTGGTGATGATGTTGTGGACGTGGGCCGGTTGGGCTACTGTCGAACAGGCTTGTTCGCGTGCACAATCTTTGTCTCGTATCTACGTTGACGACGGAGCCTTCTCCTCAAACAGGGTCTGGTACTTGACGGAGCGTTTCTGTGCTTGGACGGCATGGTCACGGTCTGTTGGTTTGGCTGAAAACACGTCCAAAGCTTGGGCATGTGCGTCTACTCCTTTTCGGCGTGGTACTTTGAGGCGTACTTTACCTGAACATGTTGCGCTTGATCTTGAACTTCTTGGTGCCTGTACAATGGTGTCGCGCCGCAAGTTGCTTCCTAAGGAAGAGCAGCGTGTTACCGCTTGCAAGCGTACTTGTGTTCTCTTGTCATGTGTCGGTTTTCCGTTCAATCGGTTCATGTCTGCTGTGCGTGCATTTGCTGTGTCCAAGTTGGCATACGGTTAGGTTGCGCGGAGTCCTCCGTTGAATCTTTCCCAAAGCATGTGGGCTTGTATTCATATGGGCTCCCGTCGCATCCGCTTTGCCTCCCCTTGGTTGCGTGCTTGCTTATTTGGTGGCGGATTGCATCCCGACATTTTATTTGCTACTCAGTTGGTTGGGCTTTTGAGCCGCGTTGCATCCAGGCGGCCGTTGGTCTGGCATCCTCGGCCTGGTTCCCCGTCTCATCCTTGCACTCTTGGGCGTGGTTGGCAGCTCGTGTCCTCCTTCCATTGGTTGCATGGCTTGACTTGTCAGCGGTTGAACTTTTCGGATCGTGTGCATGTTGGTTTGCGCCGCAGGCTTACTTTCAGAAGATCGATTGGGAAGGTACTCGTCGCTGGGCTTGCTCTTGCCCTGAGGCACGTGCTGTTGCTTCCGGTGCTTCCTGGTCCCCTGCTGCCTTGAAAGCGACGGGTGGCGACACTGCTGATCGGTGCATTTGGTCTGGTTGTGATGAGCTTGGCACTTTTGATCACATTACTTGGTCGCGTCCCCATTGCCCCCAGTGGAGCCGCCTATTCCACCACGGCCGGGTGAATTTGTGAAAGCTAGATTTGGCTGGTCCGTTGCCGGTACGGACAATGGACCTGTCCAGAGTTGGCTTGTGCATGTGCAGCGGCAGATTTGGGAGAAGAGGCATGCGTGATGCCTCTGCTCGGTGCGTCTGCCGCACACTGTTCTCCGGCTGTTTGTTGTCTGGGCTCTCTCGTGAGCTTTTGGGTTTGTGCGGTTGTGCGCGGCACCCGGTGTCTCCTTCCTCGTGTGCTGTCCGCTTGGGGGCTGCCACACGTCAAAGTTCCTACCTAGCCCTACCTGACCTGCCAGTTACGGTTATGTTTCTCCACCGGTGGGAGGTAGTGAGGAGCCCAAAGTTTCAAATCACCACCGCATCAACTTGTCATTGACGTTCAAGACGTTTGTTCACTTCATGGAAATGGTACCAATTAATCGTGCAACTTTGAGAAGGAAACCAATAGATTCCAATTTGCCGATCACCTGGTTTGTACCTGCTTCAGCGCCTTGCACGCTGTCTGGGTCCAGCAAGTGCAGATGGGGCTGACTGCAAGTTTATCTTTCTCATCGGCTCAGAAAATCACGGTCGGCCCAAGCCCCCAACAGCCACCACTCTAGGCCAGGAGAATATACACGCGTATGCGCGTATGGTTGTTTAAACTACCTGTGCAAACAGCAAAGTGAACCACCTGACAATTCCGGTCACGTTTCCCCCGGCCGGTGGAGGCGGAGGAATGCGAGGACCATAAAGCTCTCCTGGGCCCGCTGCCTGCAGACATTCTGCGCAAACAGCCAACACAGATCAAGAAAATGATGTCCAATCCAATGGTTTGCATCGTCGAAAAAACGGAAGGAGACATGCCTGCACATCCTAAAACCCTGCCAACGCTTTGGTCAAATTTCTTCACCCTGGCACCTTCATTCTCGGCGGAGGCCCGTTGGAAGGAACACGATCACCAACTGGCCCTAGCGCCTGCAAGGCGGTCGTCGGTATACAAAAAAGGTGGCCGAGACTGCCAAGACTGAAGAACATGAAGCAAAAGAGCCGTTTTTGGGGGGTCTGCGCGGTTCGTCGCCCGCAGGCGTTGTGCATTAGGGCGTTTAGGGTTTGAATGGGCTTCATCCGGCCCACAGTTGGCGCACAAAAACAAATGCCTCACTACCCTAAATTTGACGTGGCCCGCAAATGGTTGTACAATTTCTGTTGCACAAACACAAACTGTGAAAATCTGGCAGA